CTTATAACATGACGTTATTGGAAAATAAAATAAGAATAATCGTCACGATAGCGTAATTGGACAATGCTTTTTATTCAACAATCTCGACAAAAATGATTTTTTGTTAAAAAAATGTAATAAAATTAAATGATGACAATAACATAAAAAAATGTATAACTATATATAATATAGTATATATTATATTATATATATATATATAATTATTAATATTATATATTATATAATTATATATAACTATATATAATTATAACAAGTATCATATTCCACGCTTCATGTGTAAGTCAACTTCGCAAATATTCTTCTAAAAGCAAATTACTTTCAATTATTTATTAATAGAATTATGTATAAACATTAAATAGTCAAGTTTTCCAACTTTATAATTAAAGTTGTATGTAAATATTAATTCGAAAAAAATAATTAGTCTAAAGATATATTACATTTTTAATATTAAATTAAGATATCCTCCTTAAAATTATTATTTTAAAGAATAAAAATAATCTTTTATGATTGCACAAAACTTAGTTAATAATTCATTAAAACATTAACGACATTATTAAATTATATAATTCTACAATTTGATAGACCTCATATTCATACTTCGGGAATACCAATTCAAAAAATAAACTAGTTAGGACGTTAAACGATGGATAAAGTTAAAAGTAATAAATATAATAATATTTAACTTATAATCAAATACATCTATATACATTCCTGTATAATTTAAAACACCATATATACATTACGTACATTAGTCTTGTTATTTTAAAAGTATTTTACTAGAATTTATAATCAGTAATGTGTTTAAAAACCATACATATACTATATTAAATTCAACCATATTTAGTATTGATCGTATATAAATATATATAATTTTAAATTTAACAAAAAAAAATTAATGATTAAATATGAGTAAAAATATGCAGATATAACAATAAATGTACATTAAAAATTAAATTACATTAGCTTTTTATTTCAAATCGTTTTTATTATTTTGTAGCATATTTATTACAATTATATTAGTTTTTTTTTAATGATTGAAGTAACAGTGGTACTATTATAATTGTACAGTAAACATGACGGGTTTAGTATTGTTTTGAAAAATTAAAAAAATAATAATAAATATATTCTTATACCATATGGTATTCGTTATATAATCATTAAATTTGATTATATTTATATATTTATTATTTTAAAATGACGATTAAATTTGATTAACTTTAATTTTTACTAATAAATGTTAAAGACTTTATGAATACAATAAGTATTAGTAATCTTCAATTATTTCAGGTGCAACAATACACTATATATGCTTATACAAATATAAATAAATATGCAACTGCCTCTACATCAGTATAAGTATTAAAACTAATAAATTAAGCAAAAATAAAAAGTGTTACATATTTATATGTATATAACTATAGAATAATTCAAGCGAGACAAAACTGACTGTCGAAAGGAAACATCAAATTGGTGGTCTACCTTAATATTAATTCAGGAGCACAGAAAAGATGTATTGTGTATATTCGGTTTATAGATTACTATTCTTACACGGTTTAATATTATAAGATCGATTGGAATTAGCATAGTCAGAATAAATTTAAAGAGAAGAAAGTTGTAAATATACATAAAACTAGCTGTACTATTTATAGAATTTTGAAAGTTACGTTAAAAAAATTGCTTCAATCGAGCCTTTTCGTCTACAAATACCAATTCCGTATCGATATCAGATAAGATATCAAGTGATATTTTTATTGTCTATGGATTGTTTTTAATTCAAGAATTATATACACATATGATTCAAATTCTCAACAATATTTTAGAGATATTTGATTAAAATGTTTAACTATTATTTTCTTATTATACATAATTATTGAAAAAATATAAAATGCTTAAATAAATAAAAAGAATATATTGGGGATTTAAAAACTACTTTTCTGCTCATAGATTGTTAACAGTATGGATATTTTTCATATAGTATTCAATTCAAAATCAATGATCATGGTGAATATATAGTTAAATAATTAAAATAACAAAAAGTATCACAAAAACAAAAATTAAAAATGATATTACACTATAAAAGACAATAATAAGCAGAAAATCGCCTACGAGCTACGAGTTGCTGGTACAATACAAATTAAGAGCATGAACGAATATATAGTATAGTACCAAATGCCGTTGTAATCAGTTACGGACCAGAGCCATTTCTTCATCATTATATGTACTATATCCCCTAGTGGGTGCTTCCCCTTACACAAACCATCGCCACACCAAGTGCGTAGTGTTTGATACCATATAAGCTCAATCTCAACGTATACGCGTATATTTATTCCTGCACCAGTCGTGATAACCTTTTATTTATCACATTTCATTCTATTCGCGACACAATAAAACGACAGATTTTATGAGTCCGCCTTGTAAATATCACCCCTACCCTCATAACCACCATCACCGAAGCCGCGTGCACAATTTCGGCTAAATCCGAATTGACTGGTGAACCGTGAAATAAATACGCGCGTCATATTATAATACATATATATGAGGACACAGCTATTGCTACAAAAAACAAATCCACGATTCACTATAGCCTATAATATAATATATGTACTGTGTTCGCGAGAGATTGGTGCACGACATATATATATATATATATATATATATATATATATATATATATATACGAATAAACTACATATTATATACGTAGGTAAAAATACGTACTATACACCAAATAATGGTAAAAGTCAAATATTTAATAAATAAAAAATAAAATATAAATAAATCAGGAAGGGATCTAGAAATCGAAAAAGGAGGGCGGAACAAAAAAATTTGCTTCATGTACATAAAATAATAGACGATACTTAAAGTTTTTAAAGTAAATAAAATATTAATCATACATGCATATAAGAAAATAATAAACAAAAATTTTATAACAAAATTATCTTGTATTGCGTACACTATAATACATACATATACAAGAGTACAAAATATTTAGTAGTTGAAAAAAAAATCACTATTTATTAGTAAATTAATCTGACCAATCTTTGTTTTTACACTTCGAGGTTAAGACTATTGAAAACCATAGGCTTAAATTACATTTTATTTTTGAGGGGTTAATTTTTTTGGTATCACTTTGGTAAATTACTTTTATTTTTTAATTTGTATCAGTACCTATTATGTGGAGGATAGATAAATATTTTAGGGGCTCAGCCCTTCTAGCCTTCACTTAATTACGTTGAAGACTATATAAATAATCATGATTATTAATCACTCCTAAATACCAATAAGCAATATAATATAATATGTTATAAGTATAAAATTGCTCCTCTTTAATTACAAAATTGAAAATTAAGGTAATTTTTAAAATATTGTAAGCACCTATAGCCTAAAGGAGGGAAGCTTCAGACCCCATAGCCCCCCCCCCCCATGTATCCACGCCTGAAATAAATCTATTTGTTATCCAAAAACCAGCAAGGTGACGTTGAGAAATAATAACACAATTCAATTTGTAATAAAGTTATGATGAAGCGCTAAAATGATACTGTGTACATTCATTGTAGTAGGTCAATAAGTCCACTTTTTATCAAATGTCCGAATTGTCTAGCTCACGACACGATTTATCGAGCCGATAAAATAAAAAAATTGTCGCAGCCCGAAAGAAAAAGCAATACCTAAAAACAAATGACACAAGTACTTTCAACCCAGGGTTCACTTTGTCACTAAAAAAAAAAAATTTCACGATTTAATATCACGCGATGAAAAAGTTAGTAAACGATGGCACATCTATCCGTATTAGTTCTTTGGACTCTACGTACCAATGTACTAGTATTGCGTACCAGGTCGTTGCTAGAACAGAGCGATTACAGTTTTGTACAGTGAAAGACGGACAAAAGGATAAAAAAATAAAAAATAAATGCGAATATCGTGTACACAGTATAGGAGTAGATAGGTGTTTATATCAAACGGACACACGTAATAATTTGAAAACAAAATAAATAAAAATAACCGAATAATTTATCTCGTGTAACTACACGTATCACCATACATTCGTAGGACACTGACTCATTTGTACAACTCTGGCTGCAGGGAAAACGATTGAAAACCGCTGACGACGATAGGGGGAACTCTTGAGTTGGGTCCCAAGATATTTTATTGTTTAAAAAAAACAGGAGTTGGGTCCGCGATGTTATTTAATAATACTCGAATTGGGTCCATGATCACATTCGATAATACGTGAATTGGGTCCACGGTTGATTTTATCTTGTTGTTATCTTAATTACCCAACTCAAGTTTTCTTAGTAAAAGATTTGTGTTTTAAATTTCTTCTATAATTTAAACTATATAATTATAAATAAACTATTAGTGATAAAAGTAAAAGTAAATTAAAATTTGATCTAAAATCAAGTCAATTCAATAATAATTTTTCACACAAAAAAAAAAAAAAATCTTATTGAATAATAATTTTAATATTTTAATAATGTTTACATCAAACCGTCACCTTTGTATAACAAAAAACTAAATTTTGGAAGACTTCCTAGCCAACCTCCACATGGTGTCTTCTGGGTAACGCAAATAAACTGGACCCAACTCATGTAGTCGATATAATACATGGGGACCCAACTCATGTACTCAATAAAACACGTTCGGACCAAATTCATACTCTTTTTGAAATTTAGGACCCAAATCGAGGTTATCCACGATAGGTGCTGGTTATTAATTATTGCCGTTATTAGAACCGTTAACGGTTACAGTTATGCGATAAAGGGCGGAAAAATGTGAGGAAAAAAATGTCATATAAAAAAAAAAAAAACAAATCTGGGCAGGGGAAACCGCAACCACGATCGTAGGTCCGCGCCTTGCGGCGGAGGGTATAGTGAGAACTAGAACCGCGAAACAGCAGCGTAAGCGCTTTCGGTGCGCCGACTACGGCAACACACGACGCCGTCGCCGGCTCGCGGCGGCAGCCACTACCGCCACCACTGCCGCCACCGATCGGCGAGCTCTCAGCGCTATCAGTGTCCACGACAGTGTTTCGCCGGTACGGTCGTTCTTTGACAGTATTCACAGTACAGTAGTAGTGCGCGTTCGCAACACCTATCAACACAGTGCGCGCGAGTTTTGTCATTCGAGATCGTGATTTTTTTTTTTTTTTTTTTTTTTCAAATTTTTTTTTAAAAAAGTTATACTTTTTTTTTTTTTTTTTTTTTCATTTCGTTTCACGTGTGACCGTGGTGAACGTCGATCTGTACGAACGCGCAGAGACTACGCATGCACGCACCAATCGAGAATTTCTCGCACAACCGATAAACACAATAATATAATATTATAATTTAGGTATACATACAAACATATATTGCCGTGTAACTTACATCCCTAATGTAGAGAAATCTCGTGTACTATACGGTACTAATAATGTGTGATTATTATACCGATGTGTTCGATAACGTAGGTTAGTACAGTGTATAATATTGTAGTTATTAATCGCGAAAGCCGTATTATAATTAATGTTAAACACAAAAACGCGTACCGACAACTAACCGCGGGAACTTTGACCGAATACCTTAATATTAATAAACAATTGTATTACCGTGTGAACTATTAAGACCTATAGTAAGATATACAGCAAAAAACGCAAGTAATCGTTCGCGAAACTTTTTTTTTTTTTTTCAAAAGTGATTTTCATTCAATTAGAACAATAAGAATAATTTATGAAAACAAGTCGATAATTATAAATTAAAATTAAAAAGATAATAAAATTAAAGTGACAAATCTAACAGAGTGTAGAGCCCTCCCAATGGAGTTAATACAGCATGATAAGATTCGCGAAAATAAATAACAAATTTTTATTAATCAATAAATTACTGAAATGTCGACCTCGACTAATAGACATTTTCGTCGATAACAAATATTTTATTACGTCACTCGAATTGACTGCTAATTAAAAGTTCTAAAACATAACGTGTAACAATATTTGAATAAATGATAAAATGAACGCAACGAGAGTGAAAAGAAAAAGAATAATACATACATCGGTCTGCACTCAGATAAATAAATTTTCCCCCTCTTTAACGTGTAAACGCTTTTCTCCAAGTTGCATATATTGTCAAGGAAATAATACAATAATGTATAAATATAAACGTATATACATATATGTATTTTAAACGACGATATTATATATAAGTACGACGTAATAGTCAAACGTTTTTCATTAATCATTCGTACCCGTACATTGAACAGGATAAAAATTAATAGCTTTACTGACATCTCCACGGTATTCAGACAAATATTTATTGGGTTTTGTAGAAATCAATTTTGTTCGGTGAAAAAGTAGCTCCCGTCGACGCCGGGACAAATCGAAAAACTTTTGGTGTACATAGAAGTTTTGTGCTCCTTGTAATAATATTTTCATTCAATGCCCACTTCTAATTATAACAGTCATCCCCTCAAGTTTCTTCCTCTCCCAGTCTCTCCTGAATTGTTTCATATTATTATTGTTATTGTTATATTGGAAAAAAATAAAATTAAAAAAGCAAACGAAACATGGCGAAAGTTAAAAGTAATTAATCAAAAATAAAATTAAAATAAAACTTTTGCCAGCAAAGTCGTCGCTTCTATACTAATTTCCCAAAATTAATTTAATAATTTTTCTACTTTCCTTTGTAAACGAGATTAAATGAATAATAAAAAAAAGTAATTAAAGCAGACAATCCAATCAAAGATGATAATAGTGCGTAAACCCTGGATTTAAAACACTGTTTTTTCCCTAATTCACAGCGTTAAAATATGATAAACTCCCATAAAGTTTCCGGGACGCTTTAGTTAAAGCTGACAAAGCATAATAATAGGAACTATGGACTTATTAGATTTAAGCATTATTATATTTACCAGCTGTTGAATCATTCATATCTTATTGGATCTGAAATAATTCCATTGAAATTCATATAAATAAATTTAAATGTTTTAAATTTATACACCAGGACAAGCAAAATATCATTATTTTAAAATAATAAATTTCGTTTAGCAATCGAATTTATATATTATAATAAAAAAAAACAATTTACTTCGATAAGCCCTATTGCATGGTAGGCATAAAAACACTTTTTTATTGTATAACCGTTATAGATGGTGGTTTTGCAAATTGTGAAAGATGCAGACGACAAGGTGATTAATTATCCGTTGGGGTGGTTATATACGTAAAACATTAAGCCGACAAAGGGGTGGCAGTAATAAGTTAATAATTTCGGTTTAAACTTAGAGTTATATAAGAAACTTATACTATATATGCAACCATGTACATGATATAAAGTGAGAAAAAAAACACTGCAATATTTTGTCTTTTGTAGAGTTTAAATGTTTAAACAAGATTTAGCTAGACGGAAATTATTCGAAAAACTCACGATTTTTTCAGCTTTCCACGCTTAGTTTGATTTAATGTGCATATATTTTTAAATTTTTTATTTTACCTCGGAATTAAAAAAAAACACATTTAAAGGAATTATAAAAATAATTAAAATAGATGCAACACTAGCATTTTCATAACATTTTCTGCTAACTTGCATTAAGCAATTATATATTATTTTAAAACAAGAAAGTAAACAGTATAATTATAATCAAAAAATAACTAATGGATAAGCACATGTCTGCAAAAATTAAATCCTTTCAAAGTAGGTCAGAAGATAAGTTCTATCTATAGGAATGTTTGTTTTTCGATAAGAATTGCCGTTATGTTATGAATTCCCTGTCCATAAACATGTTATAGTCAACAAACTACTAAGTCGCGGCAACATACTAATTAATTAACCTATACCTAATTAATGAATTTAGATTTTAAGATTATAAAATTAAACGTTTTTTTTTTTCTGAAATTTGAAAAATTCTAGGTAGGCTTAAATTTCTACGTTCTAAACACGCGCTTGACATATACACCTAAATGTGTGAACTGTCCGTACAATTGATAAATTAATTATAATAGTCAATTTTATTGGTTTCAACATGTTATACATCGATTCGAGGAACGAATTTAATGCATTATATGAATATGAGGGTTCTAAAATAAATTAAAAACGATAGACTGATGAAATAAAAAAAATCCTCCGCTAGAAACTATCTATACCGTAAGATAACGACAACGTGGCAGTAAATATTAAGTAATTCTTAAACAAACTAAAAATTATTGATTTTCCATATTCTAAGCAAACATTAACCAACACTTCAGACTGCGCCATCGACCGTTTTGTTCTTGTCTTATAATTTACGGCCATCCAGTGATACTACGCATTAAATAATATGTGATGTCATTGAAACGCGATTTCACGGCCCCTTAACCTTAACGAATCGCCATTATTAATATGTATGTGTGTGTATCTGTGTTACATGACTGATATATATAAATGTATTTGTAACAACCGCAGTCACCGAATTTTCACTTTTTATTAAGATTTACAAAAAGAAATTTGATACGCTTCCATTATCTTCCAAACTTACTTATTTCATCGATTTTCGATTTTGTTGAAATCCATAAGAAACACATTCGATATAACTCAATATTTACGGAGTGGGAATAATGATAATCAATTGAATTTAATTACAGAAAAACTACAAAGTACAATATATATACATATAAGTAATGTGTGTTTAAAAATATTAAACTTGTTTTATGATTACACTGGAATTCGGTGGCGTCTAAATACATACTTTAGGTAATTATGAGGACGTATTTTAGCAAAAAAAGTTATTTAGGAGTAATAATGTATTCCCGTCAGTACCCAGGGATAGACAAAATACTAATTAAAAGTTATAATAAATGTTCACTGTTCTTAATATTATTTTCTTCAGAGAGGTAAAAAAAACTTTAGACGAATTCAACGTCTTGGAAATTATTAATATACAGTTGATGTTACGCTGGGTAGTTTCGAGATATTTCGATTACAATATAAGTCGTTTTTTTTAATAGGTAGGTATGGTAAAAATAAATGACAAAAAACACACGTGATTATATAATATATAAATATTATATAAATATAAACTAACAGATATATATATATATACATTATACGAGGGACGGCAAATTTCTCGGTAAATAAATCTCAGGGTACAAATGTTTTATACTTATTTGATGCAGTTAATACCGCAATTATTCAGAGGGGTTTTTATTTTTACGGGTATAGGTAGAAAACGTGACTTAATCCATTTTTTTTTATTTTTATTTATTTCGTTTTTTACGACTTAAGCCCTAGGAGTTTAATCACCCAGGAATCGCAATGGAAAAACGCCTCCTGTGGCCCATAAAGTGTCGAAGAATGTTTTAACGATCAGTACTAACCCTTGTCACCGTTGCATTGTTCAAGAAATCAGCACATTTATAGAGTTCTAGTAAACGTTACAAACCGGAATTATGATTTTTACCCTCATTGTACGGGACTACAATTTATTTGGGTCAAGGGCTCGTTGTCAAAGGTTTTATCAAAGGCCGTACGAGTGTTTATTCGACCAAAGGGACACTCATAGAACACATATGATGACAATAGAGTAAAAGAGAATTATTAATTAAGATCGTTATACATAGATATCTGTATACAATAATAAATGTATACCTATTGAAGTGCATAAAAGTACATTTTGTTTTTTCAAATGAAAATGTGTAACAACTGAGTCAAAAAGTTATTTAAAATATTTGCTTGACATCTAAGAGCTTGTTTAGAATAATAAATTGGGGGTATCTGTTTACTAACATATACAAATAATATAATAACGATGTACCAATGAATAAACAAAGGAAACCACCGATTGAAGGTGGAATGTTTCGGTACTTGTAGAGAGAATGTCCACACTGGCGAGAGCTCATTTTTCAAACGTGCACTTTGTCATTACAACTAAGACGTAACTTGGGCTGTACCTACGAATAATGAGGGCGTATTCCCCCTTTACATCATGTTTAATTCTTATTATTACACTTCAATTTTCCACCCTCAACGTATTCTTCCCCTCCCCCCCCAAAAAAAATATACTCAAAATCCGTGTTTGTAATTTTTTTTTCATATTTTTCTTTCCTCCACGGTCCTAAACTTACATACAATTAAAAAAATATGTATTATTTCTTCAATAAACAATCGTAAAAAATACAAACAATATTATTTTAGGACACGAGAAGAAGGACGAAAACAACAAAATTGGAAAATACTTAAATAACTAAATAATATCCGATAGTAGAAATATTTTATTCAATGTATAATCCTGATATATCCTTATCTAATATCACGTGTTTGCGCGATGTTTTGAAGTAAATACATTTTCTTATTTTTGATGATTCATGCTTTTTTAAATACGACTCTTATCTATGTTTTTTTTTTACTCTTTAACTATCATTTGTCATAAACATACTATAACTATAACATCTTTGTGTTTAAATGAATAATAAAAAAAATTAAGTGGGCGAAAATTTTTTTTATCTTATCAAATTTTAACTATAATACAATGTTATGCTTGCAGTTCACAGTGAATGGTTGACGGACGAGTTACGGTGACGGCAGGCCTAAAATGGACAAGAAACGATGACCCTCGGCAACGATTGGACGGCGGACGATGACGCCGTTTCAGTGGACACTGGTCGCAGCAGTACTGGTGCTAAGTAGCCAAGCAATCAGTGCTCAAAGTTTATGCGATACACCGCAGTGCGAATGCGATGACACTCAGTCACAAGTCCGGTGTTCATGCCGAAAAGTACCACAAGAATCGCAGGTACAAACAAGTTTATACGAAAAAAAGAAATATAAAAAGGAAAAATATGAAAATATGGCCTCGTAACTTTTAGAAAACATTAAAAAAAAAAAAAACTATACCTCGCGGTGAAAAAAATATGAAAAAAACTTCTAGATTCCCCTGGAACAGGTGCAGTTTTTTAGACGAAATGTTTTCCTCTCCTTAAAATATTTTCAAAATTGGCATTTAAATATATTTAACCTAGTCCCTCCCTTTCTTCATTACATTGTTCTTTTCGAGTTGGGCGTGTCGTAACGCATAGTTGATGATAATTTCAACGTAACGCAACACAAATTACTTTTTCGCGTGTTTTGTAAAGTCGGTAACCTTTTCTAAATAAAAAGTGTCACCTAGCAATTTTTTACACCCGACCAGCTGTTTGTAAAAAGATTTTTTCCACCTAGATTTTGCAACATTAATAATATTATTATGACTGAGAGCGAAGAACGCCGCTTTTTTATTTATACAAAAACTACAGCGTTCGTTGCTTCTTTTAATGACAGGCTTTTGGTTCAACAATTTATTTATTTTTTTCGAAAAGAAATGAGTCGAGACACGATTATCCGATGGCGATTAATTAATGAGAACCTAACCCAAAGAAAAAAATACAAAGAGGGGAACGGGCAATATACTGAGTCGCGGGAGGGGAAGATCGATCGGGACAAAATCCCGGGACGTGAACAAAATAAGAGCGCACTCAGGTCACTTTTAAAATCCTCAGTGATGTAAAGCCCAACATCTATTTTCAGCTGGGTACACATATGTCATCGTTAGTGAGCGCTGTCGAAGTATTGCTTGGGCCAGGCAAAAAAATAAAATAAAATATACCAAACCCCGCAGTGTTCCACATGATAGTGAGGAGAGAGGGTGTGAGGCTCAGCGGCAAATAAACTGACATTAATTATTACTTACGGGAGGGAGTGACGGATACGATGGCGGTGGAAAAATTTGAGAGAGGAATCCATAATTTCTGAGGTGAGATAACGGCCGAGTGTTCGTTTTAATGTATATTTATAATAGCGTTTAACATAAAAGAAAAGCGAAATACATAGTGAAAAACCACGATATAGGATGCACTAGCACCAACATTATCTTGTTTAGCGACCACATACCCCCGAACACAAACTAAAAGAATTATCCCCCCCAAAAAAAAAAAAATGGTAAAGATGCGTGCACGTGCGAAAAAGCACTTAGCTGGCGTGTTTAGTGTTGTACAAAAGTTTTAGTATAGCGAATACCGCAAGCCCACTGCAGTGTACACCCACACTCATCCCCAGAGAAGCCACTTCCAACACCTAATCCGAAGCATTAAGAACTCCACATTCCCATATATTTGATCGCACGCATTGTGCACACTCATGTACGAACGCGAAAAGCAGCAGGTCTCCAAAATCGACATATACGCACACACACAATGACTAAGATTGGAAAAATGACAATTTATTTGTGTGCGTGAGATGCAAAACAGCGATTCACTCCAACAACTGATCCACATAAAACTCGCACGAAAACTAATTTTAATACGGAGAGGGGGATGTATAAGTGGTATAAATGGCCGTTTTTCCTATGATATACTATAATGACAATAAAATAGTGGGACTGATACTGTACTCGCGAAACGACTGCGATGCCGACGAAACGTTAAATGTAAACGATAATATTAAAAACGGTTGTTTTAATTTTTTTTTTTTTTCAAAGGAAATCGTATTGAAAGCTCAAGGACCGGGACACGTACCCCGAGTGGCCAACAACGTGATGGTGACGCACTGCGATCGGGTCAAGGTGATGTCAATGGCGTTCGACGGGGCCAGACTGCTGTGGACCGTGGACATCGAGTCGGTGCAACTACTGGAAATGGCAGACGAGGCGTTCGGGTGGTCGGATAATGGTGGGGGCCAGCAACAGCAGCATCAGCATCAGCCGCACCACCACTACCATCACCAGGGCCTGACGGTGACCATAACGAACGTGACGGCGGTACCGGAGGTGCCCAGCTACGCGTTCCGCGGCCGGCTGCGGTCGGTGACGTTCAACAGGGTGCGCGTCGGAGTGGTGCGGCCGTTCGCGTTCAGCAGCTTGACGGGCACGACGGGACGGATTGAATTCCGGGACACGGTGTTCGGGCAGGTGGACCAGCAAGCGTTCAAGAAGTTCACCGTCAACGAGTTCGTACTGAAGGGGTGCCGGTTCGAGGGCGCGGCGCCCAGCCGGATGCTCACCGAGATCACGGTGCACGACGAGCTGCGGCTGGAGGAGGTGACCTTCACCGGGGTGGTGCACAGCTACGCGTTCCGCGTGCACGGGCCCAAAGTGTTCCGGGTGCAGAACAGCCGGGCTACGTGCGTGCAAAGCGACGCGTTCGAGGTGAAGTGCCGCGGACCGGCGTTCGTAGAGGACAACGCGTTCGGCCGGCTGGAGCGCGGTGCGTTCGCGGCCGTCACCGTGGACGCGCACAAGGTAGCTGAGGCGGACTACCAGGAGTTCGTGTTCGAAAACAACACGGTGGCCGAATTCGAGAACGACGCGCTCGTGTTCGACACCAACGGGTTCAGGCCACGCGTCGACTGGCTGATCGTGGGCCGGGCGTGCGGGTGCCCGGCCCGGTGGCGCAACGACCTGGTCGCGTTCTCCACCGACTACCCGCGGCATACCGAGCGCCCCGTCTGGATGGTCGAACAGACCGCGTGGTGCGCTACGCCCGACGACGACGGCGTCGGCGACTTCGGTCGGTTGGTCAAAGCGCAGCAGTACGACGAGGCGCATTGTTTGCCCGGCGGCGGCCGCGGTACCGGCCTCGGCCGTTTCCACCTGACCGGCGTGGCCCTGATAGCCGTGGCCACGCTCACGGCCGCGCTCATCTACTGGGCGTGGTACAAGAAACGCAAACGTGGCCAGTGGACGAACGTACCGGCCTCGTCGCCGGTGAAAACGCGTTCGATACTAAAAAGCGGTGGCGGTGGCGGCGGCGGTGGCGGCGGTGACAAGCACAGGCACGTGATGGTCATGCCCGAGGGAAAGACTTACAGAGAGACCGAGTTGCACGTTATCGTGGAGCGTACGGGAACGACGGACAACCAATTCAAGTCCACGGCTAACTACCACCAGAGAGCTCAACCTTTGACCAGTGACTTGTAACCGACTTTTTTTCAGACTCCTAAACGTATTTGTTTTTATTTTTATTTAATGTAACCCGTCCCCTGCAACTATTGTCTGTATTGTAAAAATATGATTTATACGTCTGTACATAATAAGTGTGTGTGTACAAATTTACAAAGTTTTTATAGTCAGTATTTTGTATTTAATTTGTGATCGTATTTTGTAGACAAACGACTGACTGCAATAATTATTATATTATTATATGTGTTAGAGGTATACTATATATACTAATATCGCTACCAGACGCTAATATAAATAAATGAATAAAACTAATTCTTATATATATATAGTTATTACATTTGCTTCAGAACAATAAACAACTTATGTTTTCCTTTTGTAATAATAATAAACGTATACGGAATAGTTTTAGTCTTTTCGTTATTTATGTTTTGTGTGAAAAGTTTATAATTTTACAGTAAAGATCGTAAAAAATAAGAAACATTATCGGTTTGAAAATAGCTGGAAATTATTCTTTAAAAGAGAAAAATAAATAAAAATTTCCAAAAAAGTAATACAATTTAAGTTTAAACAAAATGTTATTTTTTAAACTATTAAAATTCACAGTTAAAATTGAAAACCATCGTTTTTTTTTTTTTCGAAAAAATTATAACATAAGAGGTATTAATAAATATGAAGTCGAAATAAAATCTTACTCGCATTACTTTTGGTTTACATGTTGATATTTGCTTTTTGAAAATATAAATAAATGAAAATAATGTAAATATTGAAAATAATAACAAATGAATATTCATAAATCATTTATATAATGTGGATTATATAAAAATGAAGATGGAAATAAATTAATTAAAAAAAGGATAAAGTTATAATTTATACTCTTAATCAGATTCAATTATACAACATAGACTTGTATATTGTACAATATTGACTTATTTCGAAGGAATTTACTACTGTTTCAAAACAGACAAATGAAAATCTCAGATAAAAATAATGGAATTATTTATTAGAAGAAAACTTTTATAATAGTATTTCTATTTGCGATTCAATTACAATTGATCCGTTAATATCATTCACGCTTTACCACATAATTTTCTACATTATTCTCTATCTAATTTTTACAAAACACAATTGTGGTTTTTTTTACACAAAATTAAATAATCTTATTTTAAATATTATTTTCATAAGAAATACCCTCAATAATTTATCGTTATATAATTAACTTTAAGACCAAATAATACTTAGGGTCTATCAATTTTATTTATATGTTTAAGTAAAAAGTAATTAAAAGTTACTTAAGTTTCCATTCAAAAAGTCAAAGTTGTAACAAAACACTAAGTTTGTACAACAAAAACACTGGTCTCCGGGTGTTCCTATTCACCGTATTGTTTTCCTATCCAATTCTCCCCGATGAGTACAGTGATAAATTAAGTGTCATTCGTACACAAATATCATATGATCATTCAACATGCAGTACAAATGTAATATTCTAATCACTTACCTTAATGGCAAAACGCCGTCCATCACCTGCTGAATATTCAGAAATGGCGCTAGAGCAAATCCTTTTTTTAACAATCCCGAATGCTTAGTGTATACCAGGTCAGCAGCCGATACTGAATCTTGTTCCAAGAAGTGCGCCGAATCATCTAAACCAAAAAGATTAATGATAAATATTTGCAAACTAATAATTTGAATATGTATATTATTACCACTAGGCAAAATAATATCACATTTCAGAAGTGTCGATACACACATCCCTCCGAGGAAGGATAGTTCAGTCTCCAAATGAACCAGGCCATAACCAAGTGCTTGATATTTACTTAGCTCTTCTACCTCATATCCAATAACCAAACAACGAAAGCCAAATCGAGATATCCGATCATTTTTCAGATAATCTGATGCAGTTTCCAGTGAAAACATGACTTCGTTACCTATGCAACAATCGTGTATAGAAAAATTAATCTCAGAACGGATCTAAAATCAAAATCAACTTACCGGGTAACATTACTGCAGCAAATGGCCATTCCATTGGATCATTACTAAATTTTTTCAAAACCGGTATGTATGGTGTAGAGATTACGTGTTTATTATCATCATCGGAAAAATCTCGATAGTTCGGAATGTAAAGTTGTAACGAATCTTCAATCTGTGCTGTACAACTTCGAGGATCAAACTCAAGACATAACCATTTGACATCTTTTGGAAATGTAACTCTGGTTAAAATTAATAAAGATATCATTTGAATTTAAGAACGACAGTAAATATTAAAAAATAAAATAATCTTAATAAATAACTAAACAATAGGTAAAAATTGACTAGTTATAATAACAAGGCAGTATACTTGTAATTAGACACGGTTGCAGCTTTATATGGATGATCACTTTCAACCCACGCATAATGATGGGACGTTGTCATGCATTTGGAATCTCTGATTTCAGTTTTGGATGATTTAAGTTTTCCCAACTGTTTTGCCCCATCCAATTTATCACTTAGCATTTTGTGCATTACGTCTAATTTATTAGCGGAGTACAAATTAATGGACGTCACTGCTGGTAACAACTTGTTTATGAGCTCCAAAACATGAATAGCACTCTATAAATGGATAATGTAAGCGAATAACGTAAAATAACAACTTAGTAAATTAAATAATCACATATCATAAATTATTATTAATACTTATCATACCTTTGCGTCTTTAGAAAAAGATGTAAGTGGACCGATATGAGCCAACACTAATGGTAGTAATACATTAACAATAGCCGATTCACCCAAATATTTATACACAAAAGGATCTTTTTTTATTTTTTCAGCTCCCAAATTTATTAATTCCAATGATTTTGCCACTACTGTTGTCAATAATGTCAGTGTACTCTCTCGAGCTTTGATTTTATTACATACTTTTCTTTCAAAATCACAATTCTTATCGTGACTGTTACTAACAAAGTGAATTTAAAATTAAAAATCAGCAAACAATTATTCAAATGCTTTAAAATATAATACGTTACCTATAATACAATAAATACGGTATTTGACCTCGTGACTGAGTGGTTCCATTTAAGCTTAATGAACATGTATTAAATGAAAAAAGCGTATTATCGTGTCCTTTCACACAACTTAACCCCATATCACCATTATTAGTTCGACCACCATAGTTTCTAAGACGAATCGCATATTTTACTCTTTCCTAATTAATAAATTATCAAACATAAGTACACCACTGACAATTAAATTCAATAAAATTTACCTTTATTCGTATTGGATGATCAAATTTTAAGTCTGCTACATAATTTAATGCACTATCATCTGGCCCAAATGATCCTCTAGTTACAATCAAACTTTTCCATCGATTTCCATGAGGTTCATCAAATTCTAGTTGATTTTTCTACAAAAATTGCAATATTCATAATTTAATCTAACCGTTGATAAGGCAATGCTCATTCATTCATTACTTCTACCAATAATTCAAGCTCATATTCATAATTTCCAATGCCTGCAAACACACCACAACCTGCAATAGCGATTCCACCACGATCAACCCAAAAACAAATCGCATCGGGAGAACCATTTCCAGCATTCCATGTTTTTGTTTGATTTATTTTAGCAAATCTAGAAGGAGTAGTTAACAATATTTCTCTTTCGTTAACTATTTCCGATCCATCCTACAAAAAAAAAAAAAAAACGGTTATTCAATATGTTTATGATACATTCAATGCTATTCAATCAATCATCGAAATTATTACTTCAGACAAAGTAGCTTGTGAAGATAGTTCAGCAACAACCCTTGCGACAAGATGTGAACAGTTAGTGGAAAGAGATTTCAAATCATTATCAGGAGTTTTACTGTTAAGTATTGCATTTCGAACAGGTAAAACTATTATATCTAAAAGATGGGAAAGTAATATGTCCCAATTTGGTTCACTTTTTAAGTTATTATGGCCTGCCGATGTAATAGCATTAATCAATATAGGGTAGTAAAATTGGTGATCTTGATCTGATGTTCCAGATTTATCATTTATTTGTGTTGTTTTCAATATTGGCATAAGTTCACGAAGTCGAAATGTCGTATTACAAAGTGCAGCCACTACAGCTGTGAGTAGTTTATTTTTATGATCAATCTAAGAATGTACAAAATTAATGTAATTTCTAAATTTTATAATATAAACAAACATCTTACATTTTTCTTGTCTATCAGCAATTCCCACAGGAAATACAACTTCAAATGAGGTGTAGGGTAAAACGCATGGTAACAAGAAACAAATGTCATATGACATTCATTCAAAATTTGATTTAACCACTTAATGCACTTCATTATTTTTACAACTTCAGTACCTGTTTAAATATAATTTTAAAATAGTTCAGGTCATATAATATATATACTTTAAATTTAAAATTAAAAAAGTATTAAAAAGGTATAGTTTTAAGTAAATGTTTTTTTACAAATAGTGAGAGTATTTTTACAAATACTATACGAGATTCAAATAACCCTTTAACAGATTAAAAAAAAAATAGAAATTAAACACAAAATTAATCTCTGTTAATGTTCATTACTGTCAGGCATTTTAATGAAACGTTGACTATGAAGCAGGGATTGAAACCGGTAACCGATTTTTCCGGAGGGCAATAATAATCCGGGAAGTATATGTCCAGATCGTACCTCGCCGGAATCAAAAATTAGAAAACCGTATTTGCCCGGAACGTATAATCCCGGAACGTATTCATCCGGACCGTATCTCGCCGGAATCTAAATTATATAAACCATATTTTCCCCGAATATATAGTTACGGAACGTATTTATCCGGACCGTATTTGTCCGGAATTAAAAACGTCAAAACCCGTATTTATCCGGATCGTATCTTGCCGGAATCAAAACTTCGAAACACATATTTGCCCGAAACGTATTCATCCGGACCGTATTATTCCGGAATGTATTTTAAATTGCCTATATTAAACAGTGTTTAGACGCTGGTGAGTCCTCTTAAATAACTAAAGATAATAATAACTTAAATATCCTTATTAGATATCTTTGTCCGTTGAAATTATTATACAATATAGTAGAATCTTCTTGTAGTAGCCGATTGCATTCAAAGACCAAAAACGGGGTTAAAAAGTGTACTTATGAATAATTTTTTTGCTATAAATACTAAAAGGTTAACTTGTTTGAAAAAATTATATTCTACGATGATAGGGAACAATATTATTCTATTTATGTAGGTACATTAAAATAGTGAATTAACTCTTTCATTTGGAATTAATTTAACGTGAAGAATGGCAAACATAAAAATAAAATTACTGGTTTGCAAAATGTCATTGAACCAAGTGTCAGAGAACTAGGAAATCAATATATTAGGTTCATTAAATTTGAGAAAAAATGCGATTTATACAGTAAATTAATAATGTAATTATATAGAATATAAGATTAAACTTTAAAAAAAGTATTCTAAATCTCTATACTGTACTTAGAATACATGTAAAAGTTATTTAAAAATACTGTAATGTATTCGGAACATCACCAAAGTCTAATATTTGACAATAATTCAAATGCATTATATAAAGTTCCTTCTGGCCCCATCCTTAAATCCACCACTGGTGTTACTGCCAACCTTAGGGCTTAGACTTTATACGGTCAATTTTTAAGGGGTTTGATATAGATAATTTACAATACTCTCTAACATATTGACTATCTACTTTGGAACCCAGGATTTTACTTTCCGGAATTATACGTTCCAGACAAATACGGTTTTCAAATTTTTGCTTTCCAGCGATTTACGGTCCGGACAAATACGGTTTTAAAATTTTATATTTTTGATGTATCTTAAAGAAAAATAAAGATATAAGTCTATTACTTATGTAGTTATGTAGTACGAGTATTTTCTTTTGTTTTATAACTCTTCTTACCTATAGTCAGATCACAAAAACGTGCATAAATTGTTTGTAAAGAGTACTTTAAGTAGATTTAAGTTTAATAAAAGAAAATAGATTGTTGAAAAAAAAAAACTCGGTTTAAAAGTGGTTACTAGTAAGTTTGATGATTTAAAACCGCTTCAAAACAGATAACCGGCAATCCCATTTGTTATAGTTATTTTGGTAACCGGGAATCGCAGACCGGCGGCAACTGGTTCCAAAAAAATTTCCGGGTATTCTAAGCCCAGTAACTCATTTTTCCGGAAGCAGTTTCAAGCCCTGCTATAAAGTATAATACAACAAAAAGGAAAATATCATTGTAAAATTAATACATTTTACGGTTTGTTTAGAGGTAAAATGGCCAGTAGTAAATTATGAAAATATAAATCAATTACATCACATGAATCAATTAAAAATTACAATTAAATGCAAACATACGATGAAAAATCGTTTGCCATTACGAATAAACTTGAATCACCTACACTGAGTGCCGTTTATTTATTCTCAGTATACATCGTACTTGGTGATTTCGGGTTATTTTTTACTGTGTTTATTGGTGACCTTCCTGATTATTTTTTCACAGTTATATTATAATCACTTAAATAACAACGCATACCTAAATATCATCAAATTTATGATGTTAGAAATAGATTATAATTTAAATCCATTTTAGTAATGATAAATATGAATTAAATGTACAATTTAAATAATTCAACAAAATACTTTCTCTCCTTAAATATTTAAAGTTTAAAAGACGATATAATGAATTTTTTTCACAAAAAGTTATTATTTTTTTTTTTTTCGTTTTAATTTTAAACAAAACTTATCATTTATTTTTAACAGTTAAATTAAATTTTACGGTACAATAAAAATTGCAATTTCTTAGTCAATTTTGAAATTCACAATTTAAACTACTTAAAATACAGTTTTTATCAAAAATATTTTAAATAAAATTGATAATGAGTTGTATGTTTGATGACTCGTGCTTTGAATATAATAAATATACCATATTGTTAAATCATAATTTAATATCATATATAACGTACAATTGTATAAGATTAAATAATTAATTAGTAAACATCAGCTACCTTCACTTAGAATATTTTCGATTGCCATAATTTATCATGATTTAAAATTATATCAATATACTCGGGCCTAGCATCTTAAAAATTTTATGAAATAAAACAATAAAATCAGTTATATTAGTATAACATTTTCAAAATGAATACAAATATTAACTAAGTCGATGTTATATTATTAAATAAAATCAAAATATAGTTTATTTTTTATTTAGCATTGAGTACAGTAAATATTATTTTAGTTTTTATATTTGTTTTTATTTCTTTAAATAAAATAGGTAGTGTTATATTTTTGAAACTTAATATTTAAATAAGTACAAAATTACTTCCATCGCATAAAACTGCAATGAAAATGTTTTGAAAGTTTCTACTAACAATTTATGTACATATAAATGTTTGATCACTTAAAGTTTATGAAGACTTAGTAGAGTTCTGCTTTAAAATTGTTTTTCGACCGCAATAATTTATCATTCCTATTAAATATTTTAAAGATAACTGTTCCAATAGATTACTCAAATCTTGTGTTTTAGCTTTTATTATTAAAATTGTCAATAAACTAAGAAATAACTAACATGTAAGCATCATTATTGATTTAATTTAAAGCAATATTATTAATTGCTGATTAGTTATTAAATTTGTATTCTCGTCGCGTAATCTCTGATACATATCCTATTAATTTAATTTTAGTATCTCGTTCTTTACATTTAATTAACTTTTCCTGTTCACTTATTTTGAAAAGGATAAACTATCTACGTCATAATTTTGAAACAATATAGAAGTGACATTCAATCTTTTAACTTCCAAATATAATTAACCATAATGTACACTAATTTAATAAAATAAGATAAAATATCATCTTTCATTACACACATTTTCCATTTCAAAAGAAATAATTTAAATGCACATAGAAAAGTGGTCACTGAATTTATCACACTTAAACTTACCTATAAAAAAAAATAAAAATAATTTATCACATCACCCATGAATAAACAAAATCAAAAATTACAATAAAATATACCAAAATATTTAAACAAAATAATATCGAGTAAACATAATTTTGACTATTTTTAGGGAGACTACTCACTAGTCTCCATTTAAGAATATTGCAATTTTGTTATCCACAAAAAGATTATTTTCATTATTTTTTCTATATGAGTTATTAATATTTTGCAACAATACATGCAATACTAATTAAAACTAAAAATTAAATAAATGGTTTAAGAACTAATAAAATAATTGGAATAATTTAATCTAATTATTATTCCATATAACTAAATAGTAAGTATAATAATAGATATTCTTAGATAGGTACTAGGTAAAAAAATACTCCTAAAATTATTGATTTAAATGGAAAAATATAAAAACCTATAGGTTGTCAAAACAAACACAACAAAATATCTAGGCATTATGCAAAATGTTAATTTTTTTTTAGGCAAAGTACAAAACATTTTGTTAGATGTTATATTACATTAAGATTCTTATAATTATTATATATTATTACTCATTTTACAGACAAAATTTAATTTTATGTATTATTATATTATTAATAATATAAAGATATTTTACTCAAACTATTATTTAATTATTAAAACATGTTGTAGAAAAGTGACATTTTGAAGTGCACAAAATGTTATTTTTAAGGCAAATGCACTTTTTATTTTGACACTTGGCCTTACGAATACATTTTAAAAATCCTTGGCCAATTCTTATGGATTGAATTTTTAACTCAACTCATTATATTATTCATCAGATAACAAACTAATATTAGTGGCCAAATTTTTAAAAAAATGTTGTAGCTTTTTATAAAAATTTGACTTTATATAAATCGTATGCATAGTTGCAACACCAAAACGAGACACGAAATGACGAGAAAAAATACGATATTGTAATAAAATTATTAGTACGTTCAATATTGTACCTCAGAATTATTATTATAATAGTAAAAGAATATTAATCTTTATTGTGTTAAATCGTGAACGCACATTTATGATAAATGATAAGAAAAGTTGTTAGTAATAGGCGAAGCCCAATTTTGTTTTTCTTCATATTGCCTATTCCACGATTGACATTATATATAATACCTAGGCAAAGCTCGTATTATGTACATTGCCGAGTGATTTTTGACATTTTATATAATGCCTAGGCATTTTACAAAATACCGGATTATACATATTACCGGTAACATGTATACATAAATAATAATTTATACAAATACAATGTATAATAAGTGAATATATGTATATTATACATATATTCACTTATTATTATTATTATTATTAATTTATAATTAATATTTAATCAATGAACTGTATGTAATCAACACATAATTTTTCTTTTTGTGTTTATATCAGTACTACCCAGAGATTTTAAACAAAATTATTGTTTAATTATTTAATTAAGTTATTGTTATTCTCTGATACTACCATTGATTATAGAATAGATATGTAGATAGGCCATGCAATGAAAATAATTGGCTACCACTTTTGTGACGCGGTCGTTATGAAACGCTAGTGTAGATTATGACGCAAAGGTGGTACCTCTATCATAAATTGATGAGAGGTGCAGGGGTCGCTGTCGTTCTAATCGTGGAATATTTGTTCAAATGAAATGGAAAATTGAGAAACCATTGTTTATATTGCTTATATTATTATCGATGGAATCTCGATACTATTGATATCGTCAAAAGTATAGTATTACAATGATAGGTATGAAAGGGAAAATTTTTTTCAAGTTTTATTATTATGTTAGTTATACATTAATAGAAAATTAATGACAATTGTTTACTTGTGTGTAAGGAAAGTAAGAAAATGTTTAAGCCCCCCCCCCCCCCCCAAAACAAAAATCCTAGGTGCGCGCCTGATTGATTATATTGATACTATTTATTATATTGTTATCTGATTTTCAATATTTTGTACATCATGTATTTTACATTTGTATCATTTGTAACTTTGTGTGTTATTGACAAACTCACAAATTAAAATGTCAGGTGGCAAATGCAAATGTAATAAAACCATCAAATAAAGTAAATTCCAATTTTTCAACATCATCTTCTGATTCTGACACTCAATGTATTTCTACTTGATCTCTTTCTTTTATATCATCTGATGAGAATTCTATTGATAATGATAATATAAATTATAATGTTAGTTTGAAGGACTGTTCCGTTACATACTTTGCAGGATATTTGGGCTATAAATGTATGAAAAAATTCCATTGTAAACTTTGCCAGCATGAATCATTTACAGACAATAACTTAAATGATAAAAAACAATTTTTTATACTTAATAAAAATTATACTTCAATTGATAGTGAAAGTAAACTTAAAGCACCATCAAATAACTTCAATAATGTCATAAATAAAATTTTAAATATTTTTGAAAACAATTATAAAAACTATTTGCACAACAAAAAAAATCAAATGTCAATTAATTTAACGTATAAAACATAAGAATACAATTATAAAATAGCTAGATGAATCAATGGAAAAGTGTATAGAACATAAAATGTATATAATTAAACATATTTTAGTATGCAAAATATTTAACAAAACAAAAATGTTTTCAACAACATCAAAATTAGTAAAACTTTCAAATTAAAAATATTAAATCATATTTAAATATATCTAATAATAGTTATTTACCCGACTACCGTTCATATTTTCAATAAAATAGTTATATTAGTTATAAACTTGTTTATATTAAAAATGCCCTTTTCAAGGCAATTGGTATAAAAGTTAAAACAATAATTTCTAAATTGTAAGACATTTTGTAATGTTATAAAATAATTCTTTCGAATATTTTTTATGCTAATAATATAAAAAATATACATACCTTAATAATACTAACTTAAGAATTAGTACTTTTTATTTATTTACACCTGCAATTTGCATGATATTTTGGGGGTGGAGGGTTTGAACCATTACGCATTCGTACCTGGCAAATGCAATTTTAAATTTTGCCGAGTCGGCACTCAACTTCCACATTTAGTTATTCAAAAATGTATACAAATGTATATTATACAATAAAATATTAAATATATATCTTTTCTTTTTTTTTAACACTATATTCTTAATCAAATAACTAAATATTTATATATAAATATGTTTATTATGATAAATTAATTGATTAAATTTAAGTTACGTACAGCTACAGCCTGTTAATAATACTTGTACTAGAGATGTAATGTATATTCGATGTTACAATACCTATTATTATTATTAAACGTTTTGTGTTGCGTGAAAACTTAAACGAATAATTTTCGTTACGTATTGCATTGAAGCATCGAATAGTGATATTCGAATGGTCGAATATTCGTTACTCAAATAATTCCTATCACTGATTTGTATACTTGTTCGAGTAGCCGTATATTATAAATTATAGCGTTTAGAATAGAATATGTTTTTGTATACGGATATTCCGTTGTGCGGTAATTTCAATAATAAGTTAATCAACTTATATATTGATATATAGAAATATCACAGATTATAATCTGTGTTTACTGTAACTCGTGTAATTGCTATCACAATGTGCAAGTATAAATAGACTGCAATGCCGGAAAACTGTCATGATCGGTCATAATCGACGGACAAATGATAATAACAAAAATAATAAAATGTAATTTCAAGAAAAAATATTCGTTCATACAACGCTATCTTTCGAGAACTTTTAATATCATAATTTTAGTCCCCGATTTTCCCTATACCATGACCCATCTAACTATTCTATAATCAATGGTACTATCCAATGGTCATATCTGCCCAGGGTTTATTTGAATATAAAAAAATTAAAAATTAAAATAATCTTACCTGTATTATCAATGAATATTTTATCAACATTCTTTAAAATTTCATGAGGACGGACATCTGATAGTATTTTTTGTAAAAGTTGACGGACTTCAACAATGCAATTTGCAAGTACTTCAGTTTCAGGTAGTTTGATTTTATCAACTAAAATTAATTTTAAAAAAATTCAAGTTATTTAATTTGTTTTGTAAAAAAAAATTATTGCCAATTATTCATTATTACCTTCATCAGGATATATCTCATGAATGTAAGAACGAAGCAAATGGAAACAAGATTGACTAATAAACATCAATCGTTTGAGTTCACAAATAGATGTAGTATCTTTTTTAGATAAATCCATGTAAAAATTTTGTTGCGAGTATGGAAGACATATATCTGATATGTTTTTATTAATTGTTGTCCATGACCAACGGAGTAACATTATCAAAGCATTAAAACAATCCTAAGAGACAAGTTTAAATATAATCATTAATAATTTCCTTTCAAGTAAACAAAATCTAATTGTATAAATAAATGATCATACAAACAGCTACCAAGTTTATACAAAATATCAATGAGTTCATAATATTATAATCATCATGATAATTAATAATTGAACAAACTGCTAAACTTGAATGGAACACTAATTTCATAATTAATATATGTATACATATTGTAAGCAATAACTTATATTATTTAATTAACTGTTTAATTATAATAATTATATTTTATTTGTTACAATAATTTAGAAATATTTCAAGTTTGCTCCGAAAGATTATCCTCCTGTTTTTTTTTTTTTTAAAAAATTATTAAGGAGAAAAAAAGGAGATAAACAATATTTTGCTTTTAATATATGTACTCGTATAAAAATGTTACTGGAACTAATTCAAAGTTGTTAGTAGGTACTATTCATTATGTAAAAAAATATTATTCTTCTTTTTCTTCTGTCTTATGTCTACTCTACAAGAGTTTTTGCCATTGTCACAAATTCACACCATTTCTTCCGGTCATGAATTATACTTTTCCTATCATTCACTCCTATCCTTTTTAATTGTTCATTAACCACGTACATCCACTTTTTCCTTGGACGTCCTCGTCGCCTCTTCCCTATCGGTTTCCAGTAATCTACTTTAATTGTGTTATGATTTTCATGCATTACAAGCCCAAAACACTGGATTCTCTGATCTCTTATAAAATATTTAATTGGAACCATTTTTATTTTATCAATCAATTCTTTTTTGAACTTTCTCCTTTGCATACCAGTGTTTGTATCTAATTTGGGTCTACATATCATCTGCCATACCTTGTTTTTCAGAGTCTTTGTACTGTTACATTCATAATCATCCATACTTCCATTAATTTTTCAATGTAGCTTTCTATTGTCATGTAAAGTCTAATATTCGTTCTCATTGACAATATTTTTTTTATATAAAAATAATAATTTTCTTATATTATTATCTTAAGACTTATTTTAAGTACCTTTTGTGTCTAATGTCTTTGATAAAATCGAAAAATGTATAAATATATTATGTATAAATGCAATGAACTACCTTATTATAACGGGTTAAAAAAATAATGATAACATTCATAATAAGAATCAGTTTTATTATACAGTGTGTTTCACTCAAATGGTACCCGAAATATATCAATTCAGTGACCTCGGATTGAATTGGGATTTTTTTGAGGAACTAGGGAATACTAAAAAATATACATTTTGTAATCATTTTCGAATTTTTAATTCTTATATTGTGTGCATGCGTAACAAAACTTACATTTTTTTTAGATGTTGGTAACACCTATTTTCAACAATAGATTTCGATAAAACTATTCTTTTTAAGCAACTTTAATAAATAAACTTTTTTTTCTATCTCAAAAATTGACTGAATTACAGCAAGTTAAAAAAAAAACCTCTATATCCAAATGAACCATAAGTTCAGATTTGATTTTCAAGCCTTAAAAAATAATTATGCCCTGGTTGATATCTATTAGGATATCTTTCGGCAGTGGCGTAATTGTGGGGGGGCAAGGGGGGCAAATACCCCCTTGCCAATTTTTTGAGAGATAAAGGTATAATTTTTCCCCCCTCAAATAATCCAACAGTACAAATAGCACCTTTTATTAATGAACTCTTATGGGTATTATTTAACAATATTGGTACTTAGTACCTGCTACCTACAATTTATGTTTATCTAAACCATAAAATGAGTTAAAAGACTTATGTAATATCAAACAATTAGATATAGTGTATAAAATGCATACAATAAAAATATGTTTTAACTGGTGAGGGGGAGGGGTGTCAGAATTTTGATAACAATAAATATATTATATTGCCCCCCTGGATTTTTTCCCAGTTACGCCACTGTCTTTCGGCGTATAATTGAGCAGCTTGGCGAGAATTTCAATAGCACTCATTAAAACCTAATATCATATCCAATTTTTCACTATGGCTAGCCATTTTTGTATTATAAATAATCAGAAATATTAAAATAAAACAAAAAAAATCGGAATTCAATGCAAATGTATCCAACATGGACGAAATTTTCGGTTTATTTAAATGAACAAATTATTATCATAAATTCATAACTTTCAGTGAAAAACTTAATAATCAAAAATGGGTAGGTAGTAGGTACATATTTAATAAGATAAATGAAGATAGGTAGTTGTGAACTATATAGTGTTATCCAAAAGTCAAATGATAAAGACACGTTATAAATATAATTATTTTGTGCTACCTGGTTCACCATACAATAAGAATTATTTTGTAATAATGAATTAAATTAACTTTTACCTTAGCGATTTCCAACCAAAAATAATAGTATAATAATAAAATACAAAACTTTGAAAAATTTGGAAATTTTTTTTTTTTAAATTTAGGATTGCTGTATTCAGTCAATTTTTGAAATAAAAAAAAAATTACTTATCAAAGTTGCTTAAAAAAAATAGTTCTATCAATATCTGGTGTTGAAAATAGGTGTTGCTATTTAAAAAAATGTAAATTTTGTTGCGCATGCTCACAATAAAAGAATTAAAAATTCGTAAATGATTACAAAATGTGTATTTTAGTATTCCCTAGCTCCTCGAAAAAACCCCAATTCAATCCGAGGTCACTGAACTGAAATCTTACATGTTACGATTTGAGTGAAACACACTATAAATCAAACTTTAAAATCTTTATTTAAAAACTCAAATCAAACACAATTAACTAATTTTTAAACTTATGTATACTAATGATAAAATCTATTATAGTTACCAACTTAGCAATTACTAAGTAGATATTATATTTAATTATGTGCTACTATTAAGCCATAAAATAAATATATTAGTAGAAAAATCTAACGATTATTTTTCAGTTTTGTCTTCATAATAAATGGAGACATGGGCGTCCCCAGGGGGGCAAGACGGGGCACTTGCCCCCCGCCCTGGAATAATGTTATTTCCACAGAAATTGGTAAAATTCCAAATGATAAATTAGTTTCTAAAAATAGGTCTACTAAGTTTCCATAACATATTATGTCAACGCACGGCTGACGGCTATCTATGAAAACTATCATTAATAATAATCGGACTATTTTATCTTATGTATTTTTTGAGTGATGTTTTAATTGTACATTATACATAAATTTCAGTAATGTTTTAATTCATAATTTTAATAATGACGAAATATAATAATTTACTATAAATAAAATGTATAAAAAAATTTTCATTTATTTTTTAAATTAATTTTTCCCCTAGAAAAATGTCTGGGGACGCCCATGAATGGAGAAAATCTGTATTTATATTTATAATTAATAACTGTGAATTTTAGCAAATGCTTTTTTCAATTTATCTAATTATTTAAAAAAAAAAAAAAACTTATAACCAAATAATCATAAAAAGTATGTTAAACATGGGCGTAGTATGCATGGGGCTGTGGGGGCTGTAGCCCCCATAGAAATCTCTATAGTCCTCTCATTTTATCTAAAATTAATAAATTCTAGTTTTAAATGTTTTTATAATTGTTCCTATAATTTATCAAGCTTTAAATATTAGCAGTCTTTTGTGTATAGACAATTATTGCACTAACATACATAAAACTACTTATTTTTATCACAAACGTATTTTATTTATAGATAAACGTCGTATTAATTTTAGATTTACCCAGCGCGATCGTTGGGTAATGCATTGTCACGTCATCCGATGATAATATTATAATGATAATGGTTAATAATTTGTATGGAACACACATAATAATTATTTATTTTTCGGTATTTTTCTCGAAATTGGTGACTGGTCTGTCTTTTTTGTTTGCTCGTGTACTGCTAATCACGCACACGTTTGTCTTATATTTTACTATAAAGCATATTATTTCATACATTTTTGATTGATTTTGATATCTTTGTTTATTTTTTTCTCGTTTTTTTTTTTATTTTTTTTTTTTTTAAAAAAAATGTTTAGTATATTTAATATATAAAGAAAAAGCCTGACGAGAAAATATTACCACCAACTAGGGACAACGAAGACTTTGCAGTGGATGATCCAAGTCCAATAAATAGTAAAATTTAAGTTAATAATTCGTCAATACCTTATGATCTTAACAATATTCAATCCGAGCATTCTGAAATTACATTAAATGACTCATTTCTGGCCGATTTATGGAACTTGTCAACAGGACCAACTCAAATTACACTAAACGTAAGTACTAGAGGGGGGCAAAAAACATGGATGTTTTTAAAACATCAAGGTTTGTGTTCGATACATTGATGTTTAGCCTTTGATATATATCGAAGAAAACATCAATGTTTTGAAATTTTTTATATTAGTTTTTCCTTAAAATTATTTGTATTACAATTTTGCCTTACGCCAAAAATTATCAGTTGTCTCCAATTTTTGTATATTTATTCAGTGCATTTTTTAAACGTGTTAACTAGGCGATACAAATATCGCCCAGTAACAATGTTTTCTCGCTTAGTTGATAGTATTTTGAAATATTGGGCAAAACACAATTAACTATTGAAAGAAGATATTTTATTATTTAAAAAAAAAAATAAGTTTAATAACTCAAAATTAATGTCAGGTAAAGAATGAGACACCTATAAACTGTTTTTCTAGAAATGTTCTCTTTCTCTTTAATTCAAATTAAAGATAAGGAGTTTTTGGAATACATTTTTCTAGTCCTATAATATAGCCCCCATAGATAATAATACCAAGCTACACCCATGGTTAAAAATATGGAGAATTTGATATGAAATAATTTAAGATTAGTTTCTTACTATTTTGGACATATAATTTAATTTAAATGTAAAATCTAAAACTCATGCATTTGTTATTTAGAATACATTTTCATTAAATACCTTGTTTACTGTATGAGAAAAAGCATCACTTAGTATGTGAATATCATTATTTGATGTATGTATAGTTGAAATTGACTGTGAATCAGGAATAACAGTTCTATATAATATTTCAGGTATTTGTCCAGCATTTATGTCTGTACCATTATTTGATTTTCGAGACGATTTGAATGTAAATGTTATTCTAGTACATACAATTATAAAATATTAAAACAAACATAATAGTTAATATTAATAATATAATATTGGTGTATTACTGTTCATCACTTGTGACACTACACATGCCACTAGAACCACAATCACTTGATGGACCAGTTATTCTAGCACATGCCACATACCATCGATTCGCCTAAACAAATAATAAATAAAATCAAATAAATAATAAATGTTTGTTAATTATCATGAACAATTACATAAAGAGCAATAGGTTCATCGAACAAGATGGGATGCTTTTGTCTAGGGGCACATTCATAAGTAAGTACATCAGTTTCTGCCATCAGTTCACCATCATACTCTTGATCACCACCATCCAAACCAATATCATAAAGCTAAATACAATAAAACCATAATTTAATAATTATAGCCTCAACTTTTTATTTAAACTAATAATATAAATTGTTTAATATTTATAGAACTAACAAAATATTGTACACAGAATAAATAATAAATTTAAAATATTCATACATAAATTGGATTGTATAAAAAAATAATCTTAAATTAGCTTTTAAAACATCAATTAAAAAGTCATTAAAAAAACATTATCTTGTATTAAAGAGTAGAATAAATAAATATTTATAGTTTCATTAATTTTATAGTAACTTTAATCAAAAACATTTATTTATTTATTCTTTATTTATTCAAATCCATTTTTATTAATATATTAAATGTAATCAATTTATTTCATTAAAACAGAAAATACAAAAATTTATCTTACCTTAAGTTTAACTGTGTACTCTCCTCTTCCACCAAATAAACCAAATCCTACCAATAAAATATTACAATCAGTTGAAAATCGAATAGCCTCAACTGAATGTCCAGAATAACCCCATCCACCTCCCAAACCTAAGAAAAATAAAAATTAACTTAAAAAATATATTTAATTAAAGTTAAATATTTCTTTTTTACATACTGGCAAATCGATTGATATGTAAAAATTCTTTTTTAGTTTCTACCACATTTGTTGCAATAGGTATGTTACTTTGTGATGATGCTATACCAATAGGAAACATAGACAAATTTTGTGCTAAGATATCCATGCAAGTTAAAAAATTTACTAAAACTTGTAGTCGAGAAACTGAAATCCCGGCAGTTGGTGGTAAAGCCAGTTCATAACTCAATAAGGAACAGCTATCATAATGTTTCTTACAAGCACTATTTACATTGTAACATGTAACAACAACTTTTTCACTTTTATCAATAATACTGAAATAAATAAATTTTATTATTAATAATAATAATATCAAGTACCTATATATATACTATATTATATTTGTGTACAATAAACAAAAATAAGATACCATTATAAAAGTTACTAAAATTTGGTTATATATTTAAATTAATATTTGTATAAAATAAAATTTACCATATTTGACAAATGTTAAATAAATTCAAAAAATACTGAAAAAATTAATTAGATTTGTTTGCTTTTGATATATTTTTACATCATTTAAATATTTTTAAAAATATTGTAGGAACTCTTTTTTCTCAAAAATGCAGTGAATAATTTTCAAAAATATAATCATCTCAAAACCTTTTATATTTGTATTATTAATAATAATTTTAAATAAATAATAATTTATGTATTTTGTACAAATTCTAAATATAAGGAATTTTCAACAACATCAGTAGCAACAACTTTTTGAAGTAAATTTTTCTCTCAATATAGTATTGAATTTGTTACAACATTTGTTATTGTTGTAATCCGAAATTCAATAAAATAAAAATGAATTATCAGCATATATCATTTGTCTATAATTTATATACATGTAAAATATACATGTCAATTTAATTTTAGTTTGTAATTCAATATTATACACATTAAGTGATATTACAGTACTATATATCATGTTTTTATCTTTTTAAAAATTATTATAACTATATTTTTAACTTATTTTATACTTACACATACAAACTAATTTTAAATAAATATTAAATTAAAATAAAATTAATATTAAATTCCTTACTGCCATAAGTTATTGTACAACAAATCAAAGCACCACATTCCAGTATGTTTTTCATCAAATTGTACTTGACTATTTCCTGAATAACTATTACAAGTGCCATCCTGTTTATTAATAGCTAAGCATTTATTTGAAGTCATCACCACTGGTTAATGCACATGCAAGATAAGTAATAAAGACAATTTGAATGATTGAATAACATGCAATCGTAATAATGGTATGATTAGTGTTGAAAAACTTATTATATGTTTAAAATAATTAATATTAATCCTGAAATGCTTACAAATTGTATCATTATTGGCAGCAATAGATAAAATTTTACTATTAATTAATGCTTCGTCAACTTTAACAATTGTTTGATCACCACAACACATTACTTCTTTTGCCCTTCTAGTATGAGGTGGATTAATATCTTCTACACTCAATGGTACACTATTACAACCGCTATCACGACCAAGTTGACTTTTCTAAAACATAATAATAAAAATATAAATTAATTATATAATACAATAATAAATAAAATAGAAACAATTTACCAAATAACTGCCAAATGTATAAAGTTTTCCATCCTTTGAAACTAATGCAGTATGGTTACTTCCAGCTGATACACTAATGATTGGATGTTTTAAACGAGGTATTTTTAATATTGTTGGACCTTTTCTACTAAGTGATAAACTACAACCAAGTTGACCATTAGAATTACTGCCAAATGTTATTACTTTCCCATTACTCAATAGTAGTACTATAAAAACAAGTATTGCAAGTATTACCAATTAAATTAATACATTAACCAACATTGGTTAAATTATAAAAAAATAAATACCTGAATGATGTAAACCACAACTAATTTGAACAACTGGACAGTCAGTTGGTAAAAATATTCGAGCTGGAGGTAAAATAGTCATTCTAGTGGTATCTCTTTCTATATCGCTTCCTGGATTATTAATTGTATCATCTATTGAATTCAAAATATTGAACTAATAAATATCATAAATATGAAATTTTTTTAAAAAAAATAAGTATTTACCAATAAAACTTCGTGCTATTATACTATTATGAGATTGAAAATGAATGTTAGTATTATTAGCAATTTGTAAATTACTATCAATATCTGTATCTCTAGACAAATCTGATTGTACCAAATGGAGTTTTTGTCGTTGCTCACGTTTATTCAATCGTTTTTTTAAGTGATCTTCAAGACTTGCTTCTTGATGAGTTTTTACTTTATCTATGTTAAGAATGTAAACAATGTTAATAAAATAAATAAATTAAATAAATGTAATTTAACATTATATACCTCCAATACCAAATATAACATCAAGTCTCATCATTCCTGCAATATCACCAGCACCATTTGGTCCAAGTATTGCTAATTCAGAATTATCTTCAACTTCTTGAGCACATATACGACAGCAACCACAAATAGTGCATCCAGCATCTCCTTCACCACAACCACACTCCCTGAAATTAATTATACATGTAAATATTAATGTTTTTAATTAAAGAATTAATATGTTAATTTACTTAATACATTTTTTCTGTTTTTAGTCATACATTCAAATTAAATTAACTAAATTGTCACTCTTAGGTATTAATACTATACTTTTATCTAATTACTTAAACAATATTGAATTTTTGAAGAAATGCCTATTCAACAGACATTTTGACCTATTAATAAATTCAATTAACATATTGCATTGAATACAATAGACTATCTTACTCAATGCAATAATAATTGAATTATTTTAAATTTAAAACTACATATAGTTTAATCAATATTTATTTAAACTGGGAATATTAAAGTTATGATATTATCATCTTATTATTAAAATCCATATAAAACATAATGACTAATAATTAGTCTGAATTCCTCAATAATATTAAAGTATAAATATATTGCTCCAAAAGTTAAACAATAATTCATAATAAAATATTTCATCCGTGGAATTTTCTGAAATATATTCAACAATTTACAAAAAAATGTAACATGTGGTAGTTACAATTATTACTATAAATACTTTAAATGTGAAATTTTAATCATTCAAACAATAACTTATCATTGTTTTTAAATATAGTTGCAGCTCCTCCAGAAGCTAAGCCAAAACTAATTCAAGTAAATAAAAATGAAAATTATTTTATTACCTATTTAAAATACTACTTATTAAGACTTTCTTGTTTGTACCTAAGAGTTTATAATTTTACTAAATTATTACTTCAACTATTATTTATTAAATTAACTTACTGGCCAGATTTTCGATTTGATCGTATACTACTCAAACAACTGATGCTATACCCTGTACATTCACCACATACAGTACAAATCATGCAAACTGAATGTTTCCAATTGTGTTTTCCTGGTTTACAAATATCTTCCCTAGGTTTATTTTCATCGCAGTCATCATCAATTGTACCCTGTTCATTAGCAACACTATTTTGGCTAACTGGTTCAATATTGGTTACTTCTGAATAATCTATATTATCACATACATTTATAACAAAATATTAAGTCTTCATAAAAAATATTGCTTTGTTACTTACTATTTTTATTAATTTGAGGAGCATATATATCACGTCCACATTGCCCTTTGTTATTAATTCCAAAACTATAAACATGTCCTTTAGCACTCAAGGCAATTGCATGTGCTTTGCCTAAAGCTATTTTAACTATTTTAACATTTTTTAAATCCTTGACAAGCCCTAAAAATAACATCAATAAATAAAAGAAAATAAAGTTTATAAATTAAATAATTACCAGTATGTATATCACAATAAGTATCATCTTTTCCAAACATATACAAAAGACCATCTTTAGTCACTAATGCGGTTGTACCATTATTACAAGCTACATCTACTATGAACTGCCCATCTATTTTAGTTATTCTTTTTGGCTTCAGTACTCTAGGTTGCTTTCTATACTTTCCATGATCACAATCTTCACCACGTCGAGATACTCCAATAAAATAAGCTGATCCAGTGTTACAAAGCAACACACAGTGCAAGCCATCATGACCAGCTGCTACTTTAATGATTTTACATGGATTAGGCAGACTTAATTCCGACCATGTAGAACAATAAAAATTCATAGCATTTTGTCCACTAGGCTTTGACCATTGCAATGCCTAATAAAATTAATTAATAAAACATAAGACAAAGAACAAGGACTTCTTATTGTATTACTTACTTTTCCAGACTTAACTGATATGATAAAACTATCTTTTAATGCAGTAACAGAACATACTTCTTCGTCAGTAGCATTGTTAATAGCACTTTCTGCTGTAATAGAATCCCATAACTCAGAAACGCCATAAATACGAACATTACGGCGACTTAATACAAGAGGAACTTCATTAACAAGTTTTCCAGTACTTGGATCAATACTCTTAATCACATAATTGTTCTATTCAATAAAATATAATTACAATTATTATTCATTATCAAATGCATAATACTAATAAAATACTTACAGCAGATTGATCAAGGAAACACAATCTGTCTTTATCATTAAATACAGGCTTACAAGACGCATCCAATATGACTGAAGTATCCAGTTGAACTCGTCCTAACTTTTTAAATGAATCCTTATCTAAAAACTCAATTTCTTGATTGGTAGTTTGGTTAACATTATAAACTTTCAAGTACAACATTTTCTATAAATAATAAAATATACTCAAAATTAGGAATCATAAAATAATAGAATGTTTACTTACTTGATAGAATCCAAGACAAATATCATTAGAATGTAATGGAAGATTTGATGGACGAGCTACCTTAATGTATGGATGTCCACTAACGGTACCACCAAAACCAGTACCAATTTTATGAAAACCATAATCTGAGTATGTATATAAATAATCTCCATCACATGCCATTCCTTTAATATCTGTTTAAAAAATGATATGAGCATGTACTATTTAATTGTATGAATGTTATTAAATTCTACAAACTTTTCAGATAATTTAAATTTAGTGTTACGATTTCTGATGATTTTGGTACTCCATTGGACATCCAATCAGGTGTTTCATAATCGCCATGTGTAAGAACTCTAATACATTTTTGCAAACTAGTTAGAACTTTTGGTAACTAAAGCAAAAATATATTTATTAATAATAGCGTATTGTCATCATATATAAATAAATTAGCTTACAATTATTTTTGTAGGAGATGCATTGTATGGACACATTATTAATGTTGCCAAAGTATTGAGTATTTTACCAGTATCTCCTCTAACTATTACTAAACTTATAAGACAAGAACAGGAAACAGCTTTAAAATCATAAGTACCATTCTCATAATTTCCAGTTGCCATGTCCAATAAAAGTTCATATAAGGGATCTAAATAATAGTAATAGTTAATAAAAAGAATATAAAGCAATTTTTATTATTTTGATCAGAAAATTTACCTATAACTTCTGATGGTTCATCTTTTAAAGCTTCTGGTGATTGGTACTGAATTATATCTAATAGAGCCATCAGAGCTTTAGTACATATGTCAGGAGAAGATACTCTACTTTCTTTGATAAGTTCAAACACACTACGTAACCCAATACCAACAACCTAAAAATACAGCAGTTAGTAATTTTTATTTGTTTAGAGTAAAGCATTTAAAAAAATAAACCTTAGGAATGAAAATTTCTCCAGATGAAATTGACTGGACATTGTTGGAAGCTTGTAACACTCGGCTAAGAGTTTTAAGACATATTGGAGCTGATGAAGAGTTCCAGTATGCTTCGTCAGCTTTTTTGGCATGCCTATCAAATACTGCATATCGAGCAGCTGATAGCACTGCAAAGGAGGAAGCATTTCCTGAAACGTACATAGTCCAACCGCCATCCTGCTGGGTAAAAGAAAAATGTCAAATCTGCAAATATCAGATCAATTGTATAACATCTCTGTTAAACTTACCTTGTAGAGCTTTGATCCTTTTTGGACTTTTTGACAATTCTTCTTAACATTTTGTTTCCTGATCGGGAAGAAAATAATTCATAACAATTGTAGATGGGCAAGACGAATCGATCATTATACTTACTTGGGAAATTCTTGGGCTTCCTGGAAAAATCGCTTGTATAACTGTTCTATACCGTCCACCTCGGGCAGCATAATGACAAACAGTCAAATCATTATCCGTACATAACAAGATTTTCCCGACGAATTGCCAACGAACAAAGGCAGGAAATCATTGTAAAGTTCCGCAGCGATTAATTATTATTGTAGTCGTTCATAGCGTATTGATTAATTTTTACCGGGTTCAGTGTTATCGAATTTCAAACTCGTGTTGATAAACAATAGTATAAGCGGAAGGGGAAAATGATAATGGAACTGACCAATCGATAACGGCGGATCGATGACAGCGACGGCAGCAGCAGCTATCTACTGGCAACGCACGTGCGCCGCAGTCACGATCGACCCTTGGCAGGGTGCGAATGCTCATCTAGAGTGCACTCGTTGTGCACTAAATTGAGTTCTCAATAGAAGTTACGAAAATTATTGTCAGCCGAGTGCCGATTATTGAAAAAATATTGATTAGGAACATAACAATATATTATGCACAGACCATACGTGCCTTTAACAAAATAATTATAACCAAGATTAATTTTAGGTGTATTGATTATCTCCACTTATTTTCTATCGATATCGTTTTAACTTTAAGTATTAATTCGGGTAGCTTCCATTATTTGTTTTATTAACTAATTACCTAGTACGATATATAAGTCATTCCAGTTATGCCGTATGTTCATCTCTCGATGATTAAAATGTATTAATATCTACAATGAATTATCACACGCATAATCTATTTCTAAATGTCTTCCTCATCTCGCCATAAACGTGTTTTTTGTATATGTATATACATACAATGGCGTTTTTTCAAATTTTTGTCAGACGGTTTTAAATTTTTCTAAAAAATAAATCATTTTATAATATTTTAAAAAATATATATAAGGTATGAATTAATAATCATATTACTTTATTAAAATAATAAATTAAGAGTTATTTACAACCACATTTTATAAATTCATGTTATCTATCTTTGTACCTTCGTAGCAAAACATTTATGACTTTTGAACCTTTTTTCTATTCGGTAAGGATCGATACCAGGTTGTAGTATCCGAATGATAAAAAAAACATAATTATTTTTGAAAAAGTGGTTCATTAGACAAATATTTTGTGTTTTAAATGTATTATTATAAAAATGAAATTAAAAATTTAAAAATAAAAAAATAATAGGTATCTAGATAAGTACGTATTATGTATACAATATTATGATAACCAAATTTGAATATTCATAATTTAGTTACCATAACATATGTTTAAAATATTTTTTTAAAAAAAAATCAGTTATAGTACTTTGTAACTAATTTACTACCATTTCTATCGTACCAGACGAAATCCAATTTATTGTTATAGGCAGTACTCGACTTGGCAAAATTAAAGAAGAGGGACTCTATTTACTTTAAAAAAAAGAACGTCCCCAAAACTGGCTGAACGTTATGACAATAGCGTAATAATGGTAGGGGACGCTAAAATTTCTGAAAATTATTTGGGGTACTCCGTCCCCCTGCGCCCCCCTCAAGTCGAGCACTGGTTACAGGTGAATAAAAAAAATAATTTTTATTTAAAAATTACTGAACGTGAGATACAAACCAAACCAACCGAATGGTAATTGTTTATCTGGAGTATCGTAATAAATGTATTTTCCAGTACATCTATTTCGATTGCACCAATTTATTTTCTACTATTTTATTAAATTTATGAATCAAATATTATTATCAATTATTTATTTTAAAATGTTAAATTAGTAAAAAGCTTAAATTACATTATATAATTCGCCAAGATCATGTAGCAGAGTGGCGCAGTGGAAGCGTGCTGGGCCCATAACCCAGAGGTCCGTGGATCGAAACCACGCTCTGCTAAGGAATTTTTTTAAATTTTTTTGACCAAGAAAATTAAAAGTGAATAAATAGTGATTCTTAGAGTACGAATTGTTTTTTTTACAATAGGTAATTGCATTTTATTTAAATTCTTCAAAAATCCTCCCTTAAATTGTATTATGATATCACACACATACATTGCTTATGGCTAATTATTTTCTAATTGCTTTCACTTATATTAAAGACTTCATGTATGTTTTAAAATCTATTTAAGAAGTATAATATAAATAATCATAATTTTCATGACTAAATACGTTTATCATATTTTAAAATACTATTAATAAAGAGAGAAACAACAACTTTATTTATAAAATTTAACTAATAATTTATTTATTATTAATATATTTCTGACTATAGGTTTGGTCTAGGTTAGGCCTGACATGTCATTAACGTGTTGTAGACCGGTGAATTGCAGCCCGGGAAATGTATTCATTTTGTGCCAGCAGTATGGGCAGCATCTTATCTAAAATACCATAATATCGATAGTTCAAACGAAAAATATTAATGTTAATATGACAAAACATTTTATGCTAATATATCGGTTCAGAAAATATCGATATATCGATAATCGAAAAAAAAAAATTATAATATTTATTGTTCTTTTTTTATTTGTCACTACTAGAGCTCGGAAGCTGATTTGCATTGTTTTTTAAGTTCTTAGATGATTTCCTAGCTGGAAATTGTTTTCGATAGCATGTGACTTAACTTCAAATAACTTACTTTATATTGCATTTTCTAACTCTTTTTTTTAAAGTTTGTAAACACCTAGTGAAAAATCGAAACCAATTATTCTCTACGAAGGCTACAAATTTCAAAGTTTAGGACTTACGAAAATGTATAACCCAAATACAGATGAAAGTTACCTATTATTTAAATTTTTTTTTTGGTTTGCCATTTTTATATTCTGACAATACTATTCATTGTTTCACGGATGACTTCATACTCGCGCATCACTACCGTGCGTGAGTCCCGCGAATCTGATTCATGATGAGTCGTGACTCACCTAGATAAAGGGCAAGCCGTCAGTATCCTCGAGGCAGCCATGGCAAATGTTTCCACTGTGAGTCCTATGGTACCACCTCGTGCGGCTGCAGCATTTGCCTTTATTGCAGCCCATATTTTAAAAAAGAATTGCAAGTTGGCAAAAACGTCTACGCCGTTGGTGGATGAGAAAAATATTTCGCCAGCGATTTCAATACGGTAACAGGCTCATGAGGAGTATACAAGTCGAATAAAAATGTTATCATCTTCGCCTTCAATACTGAAACTGGGAGTTGTAAACTTGTTCCAATTTCTCGCCAGGCATCCTCTCGCTTGTTTTTATTGTGATACGCCTTTTCTCGCGAATTCCACAAAACAGAATATTTTTTATGTTTCAATCAATTGAATACATTTAATTTGATCCATTTTGATGATGCGCACAGACAAATAATTAAAACGTTTACACGGAGCGAATCGCCTTTGACGCGCACCTCGGGACCGACGGCTCGCGAGTCGTGATTCGCGTTCTACAGCCGTCTACACGTCACTAGGATTAATGCGCGACTCGCGCAGTCTAAACGAACCTTTAAAACTCGTACTTAATTTAGGGATTGGGCTGCAACTCACCAACACCGATATTTTTTATACATTGATTCACGAATGATCAGTGATATGGAACAAAACTATTGATGACCATAAATATGATGTGATGTGTATAAAATGCACCATGTTTCTCCATTTCGGCTAGAATTTAATGTATCCAAAATCTATTCCTTTTTTGTTCATATTTAAGTATCTTTTTTAATCTTTTTTTCTTATTACTTATGAATCAAGACACACGTATACAACATGGCACACAAAAACCATTACTAACCCATACCAATCTGTTATTCTGTGTTATATATAAGCTTAAAACGATTTTTCTACAGCACAGCGCGGTTAATATGCCGTGACATGAACAATGGACCTTATTCTGTGATATAATCATTATTTTAAATATACCTAAATATTTATATACTACAAAAGATCAGTAGCAGCTCGTAGTAAATATTCTAGGAAAACTTTAATCATTTCATATTAACTCCATACAACAACAAACAAAAAAAAAAAAAAACAATTTTAGTGAAAAGTTAATTATATTTCTTCTTCTGGCTTTATCTATTCTACAAAAGTTTTTGCCGTCATCGCAACTTCACGCCACTTAATTATATTTAATACCTAATTTAATATTTATATAGTCAATATTTTTAACTCGCAGATAAACGCAGATAACGGCGTACAGCGACTAATTACGGTGCAATGGCACGGAAATAATTTTCGGGAACCCAGTTTCAATAGGGTACATAATACGCGGTTTATTCTCCCTGGCCAACTCCGTCATTACTTGTTAATTGTTACGGCTGGCGTCAGATTCACTGAAACGGCGACCGTCATCAAAATGACTAAAATAGTATTTCCGTCAAAATAACTACGAGTATATATATGTTTTAGATTTTTATGGTCTTCAATTTATAATAACAAAGATAATGATATAACATATTTTCAATTCAAATAAAAAAAAATCGGAAACTTGCTCTGCTGTAGAGTAGGTCATTATAATGGATTTAAATGCAATTATAGGTATCATTGTATACGAAAAACGATTCTGAACGGAGATGATTGTCAGTCAAAACTCTAGGATATATTACGAGTATTATATGAGTTGCATAATTCGGACTTTTTTTTATTGATATTTCAAAATAAAATGCTTTGAAAAATTGAAAATTTCAATTATTTATCAATAGATTAAAAAAATTCTAAATATTTTGATAATTGAATCGTGTATAGATATTGCTAATTTAAACATTTAGTGAAAATAGAAAGTATTTTAATTGATTCGTTTTTGTGTTACAACAAATCAAAAAAATCCATTTTGTCAAAAACCGGTTATACATAATAATTAGCGTTTTTCCGTTACTTTTTTAGGGTTTTTCCTGACGCTTTTTAAAACTATTAACATTTTTTTACTTTTGACCCACCTAAGTATCAACTAGATTCACTTTCCTTTCAGAAACGGTGCTGAAGTAAAATATTGAAGCACCATAATTGCTCTAAAAGATGATGACACCAAGAAAAAAATAAAATAAATAAAAAATCATACATCATTGTAAAATCAATACATTTATCATCTGTTCAGAATCTAAAAATATTTCTATACATTTTTATTTTTAAATAGTTATTCTTTACAAGTAGCTGTTTTTTTCAGGGGAGACAGAATTAGTCTCCTCTGACGAGCCGCACCTGTAAAAGATTCTATGAATATATTAAAAAAAAAAAATGTACCTATATAGTTTTTAGCATAGATTATTTTAACTCGCTGACCGCGTAAGTACATAACTGGATCATCAACATATCTTATTTAAATGAGTAAATTACATTTTTAAAAAAATTATAGATAATACATAATGAAAAAAATGTATATTTTATTTTAATTTAGCATTATTATTTGACTCAAATTACCATACAGTTGTTTCATAAAAGAACAATAATTTTTTCTGGAACTTGTTTATTATTTTTTTAAACTTCTGGACTCTAATAGAAATTATTTGCCAAACCCTAGTTTATTATACAGATGGTTCCAAAAATATTGAT